TTGGTATGAAAATGTTAGAGATGCCTAAACAAACAAACAAAAAAGCTGCCTTAAATTAATCTCCTGAGAATACTTTCCTTCTATTTCCCTAACTAGGAATTTGTGTCACCTTTAAGCAGAAATCATCTCCCCGCTAAGGCCCTGCTCAGGCTGTGACTCTCGAGTGACAGTGGTCAAATTACATGCTGACCTGGAGTCTAAATCTGCATCTTGGTCCAGAGGACCTAGTGCAGGAAAGGATTATACTTTACTGTCACAACTACGATGGCAAAAGGCTAACAGCCTTTATTTTTAAAGGGTTCATACAGACCAGCAAACAAAAACTGAAACTCAAAATTATTTGTAAAATAGCAAAAGAACTGACAGCACTTCACAAAAGAAGAAATACAAATGGTCAACAAACACTTGAAAATGTTAAACTTTACTCATTATGAAGAAAAACTATCACTGATTCATCATTTGTCATTATCAAAGAATAAAAGACTCAAGAATATGCAATACTGGGGAGGATGGGATGAGACAGGCACTCGCTGAAACTGCTGGTGGAAACATAAGTTGATTCACAAAAGTATTCACCATAGCATTCATAACATAACAAAATAATGTTACAAAGCATCTATGTATAAACTATAAACTTTGATACAGCTATCTGGAGCCCTTAAAATAGTGTTTAGGTAACATTTCTAGTTCACGTAGAATGATGTTCACGAAGTGGGATACAAACATATATTTTATGTAACCCCAACGGTGTAAAACAATACTGTAAAAAGAAGTGTGCTGTTCAGAGTGGTTACTTCTACGACCTGAAGTATAGATGACTTTTAGTCTTTTCTCTGCAGTTTCATGTATTTTCCAGTTTCCTGCAATCAGCATGTGTTATTTTATTATAAACAGGAAAAAGTTTATCTAAAAATGGTCGCAGTGACTCAGCAGTCTCCCTTTTGCTCTCTGAAGGAAACACTGGCTTACCATTAAAGGGCATTTACAAGCTCATTGTGGTGGAAGTGTCATTATCAGGATTGTTTAAGAAAAGAAAAAAACAAAAACCAGGGTAGGCCTAGGGTTTCCAACCAAAGATCCATACGCTGTCACTGCACAAAGTTTAGGGAAAGAAGCGAGCACTAACCTCCACCCTCTCCATGCACAAGTTCCTGAAGTCTGTCCATAGTTCAATAGAAAGCATAGATGGGCCACGCCAGCACTGTGCTGAACACGCATGTGACATTAAACACAGCTCTCCCTCAAGCAGCTCTGCTGTCCTAAGATGTGTAACCAAGATTTGTACATGAAAGAACTCAGGGAGACTATGTAGCATTTTCATTCACTCATTTAAAAAAAAAAAAAGTGCCTACTGTGTATCAGAATAACAAAACAGATGAAGATTGTTCCTCAGAGATGTGACACTAGAGTGGAGAATAAATCCTAATTTAGAGCTAAACCAGAGTGTGGGCTGAAGGAGCCCAGGAATGCTCATGCTGCATGGATTGGATTTAGAGAAGCAGAAAGTAGGGTAGGAATTTAGGAGCTGGGGGGTGGCTGAGGATGGGCAGATGGGAATGTGTTCATACACAGCCTGAGCAGCTAAGCAGGTGCTGGACTGCACAAGGCAAGAGTGGAAGCTGGGCCTCACTAGAGAATTCCAAGTTCAAGTTCCAAGTCGAACCAGATGGTGGGGAGCCTCATAGGAGCTGGGACTGAATACAAAAAGGTTGAGGGGCCACCACCTTCTCCATATGCCTGGTCCTGGGCTTCTTGGCTCGTTTTGTTTTGCTCTACATTAAAAGGTCAGTTGAGAGAAAATGAGGAAGTCAAAACAAAGGCTCCTGGCACCTGGCAGGAGCTGCCGCAAGGTGGCTGATGCAATCTCCCCCTGAGAAGCCACATTAATTTTTAAAAAGGGAGCTCTGTTTTCAAAGCAAAATGTTTAATAATTTTTTTTGGAACCCCAGTGTAACAGAATTCAAATGGGAAAAGTGAGAGGGAGTGTTTAAACAAAGGCATCCCCAAGTCCCTTCCCAGTTGGTCCTGAACAGTGGAGGAAGTCAAACCTTCTTTTCCACAGCATGACGTCATAAATCAGAGAAGTCCTGGAAATCTATTCCACACCCTAAAATACCCAAACCCATTAAAAGCACAGATACAGGCTTTTACAAACATTTACTAAATAAGCAAAACCATACAAAATATGTTCCCGATGGCAATTTTTCCCATACCATGGACTCAAAGGGTTAAAACTCCCTATCATCCCAGACTAATGCCACCTTTTCAGTTCCCAGTAAATCCTTCTGTAACAAGTATCATTGCTCCAAGAATCTCTCAACTCCATTCAAACCCAAGTCTTCAGACCCTTGGCCCTCTGGGGCCTCCAGAGTGTTTGAGAAACAGTGCCACCCAAGGCAGCAGCCAGGGCTTCCGCTGGGACAGCCCCTCACTCCTCCACTCTGACTGTCCCCACTGGGCTCCTCTGGAGCAAAAGCCATGGGCAGGACTGGGCAGACTGCCCAGTGCTGCTGAGCCCAGAGCAGCGGCATCTGAGGGGAGGTGGTGGCAATGTGGACTCCACCTTTGCTGTACTCACAGGCCCCAGCTCTTCACTGGCCAGGGTGCCCAGGTCTCTACCAAAGTCGTCGCTAGTCAATCTTTATTCTCATTTTTGGCATAGGTCCTTTGAATGGAGCTGCCCTCTCTCTCAGCCTGTTCCATGTTCTTTTTTTCCCCTACTTGGTCCCTTCCTGTAACAAATGCAGTGTGTGGAATGGGACAGACCTTCCAGTCAGCTCTGGGAAAGAGGAGGGGGCTTTTCCCCCAGAGGGCTCCCCTCAGAAGCTGATCATCAGGGCTGTGTAGTTTTCAGGTCCCTTTCCAGGGCCACCACTCATTTTGCTGCTGAACACCACCTGGGACTCCTTGCTGGGGCTTCCAGGAGGCCACTTGGTATCATGGCCCCAGTACCTCATGCCTCACAAAGCTTGAAGCTCTGTGTTCCTAGTCACTTCCCGGTGTAAATGCTGTTGTATTAGTCCATTTTCATACTGCTATGAAGAGATGCCTGGTAATTTGTAAAGAAAAAGAGATTTAATGGACTCACATTTCCACATGGCTGGGGAGGCCTCACAATCATGACGGAAGGCAAAGGAAGAGCAAAAGCACATCTTACATGGCAGCAGGCAAGGGAACGTGTAGGGGAACTGCCCTTTATAAAACCATCAGGTATCATGAGACTTACTACCATGAGTACAATATGGGGGAAACCCATCCCCATGATCCAATTACCTCCCACTGGGTCCCTCCCATGATGTGGGGATTATGGGAACTACAATTCAAAATGAGATTTGGGTAGGGACACAGCCAAACCATATCAGCCAAACCTTATCCCATATTGAAAAATACACATATGTAAAGGTACAGTGTGCAGACCACTGTTTCAGAGGCCAACTGGACAAAGCCCTTCTGATTTAAAAAGGAGTGAAAAGAATTTTTTAAAAGAGTATAACAAAGTCGGCACTTTTATATACAACTAGAGGGCCTATGATTAGCAAGTTTTCTGTAGGCCAGTTAGGCAGTATTTATAAGATCACTAAAAGATATTTCTACCCTTGATCCAATTATTGCACTTATAGGTAGATCACCTGAGAAAAATCAGATTCCAAACACAATTCACACAGTATCTTCACTGACCACTTATAATGGTGAAAAGTGGAAACAATTTGTCTAATAATAGTGTAATGGATGATTCCACATGAACTATTACATAGCCATTGATCGTGTTTTTTAAGAATATTTAACAGCTTTGAAAATGTTTACTAAATCTAGAGAAAAACATTACGTTCAACACCATGATTATGTAAAAATACATCAGCACAGGAAGAAAATATTGGTAGACTATTAACAGTGGTTTTATGTGTATGGTGGGATAAAAGGTTATCTTTTTTATTATTATTTTAAAAATATCTTCTGGCCAGGCATGGTGTAATCCCAGCACTTTGGGAGGCCAAGGTGGGTGGATCATTTGAGGTCAGGAGTTCAAGACCAGCCTGGCCAACATGGTGAAACCCATCTCTACCAAAAATACAAAAATTAGCCAGGCATGGTGGCGGGTGCCTGTAGTCCCAGCTACTCGGGAGGCTAAGGCAGGAGACTCGCTTGACCCCGGGAGGCAGAGGTTGCAGTGAGCCAAGATCACACCACTGCACTCCAGCCTGGGTGACAGAGCGAGACTCCACCTCAAAAACAAACAAACAAACAAAAACTTCTAAGTTTTCTATAATTAACATATACTACTATTGTCAGGAAAAAAATTGTGTTAGTTTTTAAAGTAATGAGTATATGATGGGATTTCATCACCAGGTGACATCTTGTCTTGACCCACTAATGAGTTCCCAGAGCACCACAGGTAAAATCAGAGTGCGTGTGTCAGTGGTCCTTGACCCAGGCTCACCTTCGAATGAGCTGCAGAGCTTCAGAAACACACTAGTGCCCAGCCCTAAGCACGAAAGTTGGGCTCTGATTGATCTGTGGCCCAGCAATGGGTAGTTCTTACAGCTCCCCAGGTGGTTGTCTCGGCAGCTGTGGTGAAAACCAATAGCTTCCTCCACCTTCAGGTCCCCATTAAGGGTGGGCCTTGCCCTTCACCTCAGTCAAAACCCACCTTCAAAAAAGAGCTGAGAAATCCCCTCACTGTTTCCAATGGTTTGTTGTATTTGGACTGAAGCAAAGTCTTTGGCTAAAGAGCACTTCACTCAGTTGAAGATGTTTCACACTTTCAAAGCTGCTTGGGAGAGACTTTTCCTCCAGACCTCAAATCAGAGGGCAGCTAATGACTTATTAGCAAATAGTTCCTGGCACGAGGTTACCTCAGATTTCTGGTCCTTGGCAGAGGGCAGGGTAGGAGGGAAGCTTGCCATGGGTTTATAAGAAATGCCAAAGGGAGAACATGAGCTTGTGAGGACACAGGGGGCAAGTGAGGCAGAGATAGACTGACTGCTGTGACCTCCCCACAGGTCCCCCCGCAGAAGGCAGGAGAGATGGCCAGGCCAAGGCCTTGGTGGGGCGACCAGCTGCTGTTCATGAGCATCATTGTCCTCACAGTTGTGGTCATCTGCCTGATGTTCTACGCTCTCCTCTGGAAGTCTGGGGACCTCATCGACCTGCCCGATCTGAGAATAGGCTTCTACAACTTCTGCCTGTGGAATGAGGATGCCAGCAGCCTACAGTGTCACCAGTTCCCTGAGCTGGAGGCCCTGGGGGTGCCTCTGGTTGGCCTGGCCCTGGCCAGGCTTGGCGTGTACGGGGCCCTGGTCCTCACCCTCTTTTCCTTTCAGGCTCTCCTCCTAGCCTGGTGCAATGGTAATGACAGAGAGTGGCAGCTAGCAGTGGGCTTCCTGGCTGTGTCCTCCATGCTGCTGGCCGGCGGCCTGGGCCTCTTCCTCTCCTGTATGTGGAAGTGGGTCAGGCTCTCCCTCCTGGGGCCTGGGTTTCTAGCTCTGGGTAGCGCCCAGGCCTTACTCATCCTCTTGTTAATGGCCACAGTTATGTTCCCTCTAAGGGCTTAGAGGGCTTACAGCGAGCTTGAGAGCTGCTAAAGGCTTATGTGATTGCAAGGGTTCAGTTCCAACTATGGTCGGAGGTGGCACATCTGCTCAGCCATCTCATTTTATAGCTAACACTGATCTCCAGCTCCAGCAGATGGAACCTACTGCAGAGGAGGTGGGGCCCCCGTGTCAAAGAGGCCAAGGGGCAGCAAGGGCAGCCAGGGCACCTGCGGCTTCTTAGTATAGGATTATCTGTCCTTCACGACTTCCAAGGCTCCCAAGGACTCCCTAAAACCACGCAGCTCATTGTCATACCAATTCCTGCTTTAATTAATGGGTCTGAGCAAATCTTCCTCTAGCTTCAGGAGGGTGGGGAGGGAGTGATTCCTGTCAGGAGGTCAGAATTCCAGGCTGATTCACCAAATGCCAAACTGAAACCTAGCAAAGACTTATGGAAACAAATGAGGATATTAAAAGAGCGAGCACCTCAGTGCTTCTGGGCGCCTGCTTAAGGAGCTTCCGCTCAGCCCACGATGGTGAGTGGGCCGCCATAAGCCGCCACTGGGATTCCAACCCCAGAGGTCCAGGAGTGATCTCTGAGTGACTCAACAAAGACAGGACACATGGAGCACAAAGACAAGCCTTGGTTGCTTCAAAGCTTCCCTGGACTTGAAGCGAGTCAGGGCAGAGGCATCCGCTGGCAAATCACTCCCATGATGAGACCCTGGAGGACACCAAATCCTCGGTGTGATCAGGACTGGACGGTTGCACACATACAAATGCTGCCACCCTCCACTTCTCAACCCAGAACTGGGAAAGACATTAGCACTTAAGGAAAGACTTAAGCACTGGGGAATTGTGTGTATTTTCCAGCACCTGCGCATTGGAAAACCTGTATGGCAAATGATTCACTCATTTATTCCTGTCCAAAACCACACTGAAAAGAAACACAGAAACATGTACTCTGGTGTGATCTTGTCCTTAGTGTCTCTTTTGGGTTCCTGTCCCTCTTGTTTTATAACTAGCTGCCCAGGGACCAAGGTACATGTGAAAGCAAGGTAGCAGCTTGGGGGAGGAGGCCTGTCTGACTTACCAGTCCAAACACTGTGGCCTCAACCTCCCAGACACAGCAGAGAACTGTGGGCAGCTCGTTTGCTTTCTAGGCTGGCTGGAGAGGTGGGAGCTCATTGATTGACTCATGATGGAAACTATTTTTTAAACAGGCTTCCTCCAGGAGAGATCATGTGGACCAAACTAGCAATTCCAGTGCGCCTGGCAGTGATCCTTTTCTTTGAAAAGTTCTGTCTCTTTGGTTCCAGTAAGTTGGACCACCAAATGACATCATTTTCCCTGGAACCTGGTGACTGACTAACACAGACAGTTGGCATTCCAGAGCCTCAGAGCTGGGAGAGGATGCAGTACATACAGCAGGATTCAAATGGGATCTTGTTTTGAGTCCTGCCTTCCACACACTCAGAATGGCAGCCCCAAGGCCTGAAGCGTCCTGGGACTTCTGGCCTGAGGTGAATCTGCCAGGCCCAAGGAGGCACAAAGGTAGGAGCACAGAGAACCCCATTCCCACAGGCGGGTGGTCCAGCAGCGCCAATGGAAGCTCAGCTGTCCTCCAGCTGCTCTCAGCAGAAAGTTGAGTGCACAGTTTATGCCCTAGCTGAAAAAGATCTCCCGGACGTATTTCAACACATCCTCTTCCTCCTCCTCCTCCTCCTCGGGGCTCCTGCTGCAGGCAGAGTTGGAATCCCCTGGCCTCTGGGAAGGGCTGAGGCCTGCAGCCAGTGCCTCTTTCCCACTGTCCTCTTCCTCACTGCTGCTCCCAGAACTTGTGTGAGGCGACACAGAGCAGGGAGCGGAGAGCTCTGGGTTATCAGCACCCACCAGGGCCGGCTGCTCGCAGGCCTTTTCCTTTTTGCGGCTCTGCAGAGTACAGGAAACGGCAGGCTCAACATACGTTTCATTTCCCTAACATGCTGATCTGTCTGTCAGTGACTCACGCAGGATGTATCCAGAAGCAACTACAAAGCCAGTGTGATCAGGCCAGGCAATGTACCCATATCCTGAGCACCTACCCTCTCTTCACGCCACTCCTCCCTGCACCCCCTCTTCACAGCTCTTGAAGAAACCAGGACCCACTTGGGAGAGAAGCAAGCAGAGGCATGAGGATTAGTGAGGGGAAAGGAAAAAGAAATGGAAGACACATGTCTAGAAGGGGCGGTGACAGAATGGAAGGAGCCCAGGATACAAAACCTGGGTGTGGGCCCATGCCTTAGCACTAGGAAAAGCCCCATACCACAGGGTTACCGCAAGGCCCAAATGACATCACACACGCTTTCAAGGCACTGGGTAAACCGCAGAATGCTGTGCAACTCTGAGGCACTGCAATTATTACTGCAGGAAGCCAGGAAGCTCGGCAGCCTCTGCTCAGGAGAGGGGCAACGGTTAAGAAGTCATCTACCCAACTGGGAACCTTTCCAAGAACACAAACAGGTAAAGGCTTCATGTCCCATCCACATACACACTAGCGCACAGTCACGGTCTCCCCAACACACGCACGCCCTCCCATGCATCTAGCCCCAAAGACTCACCCCGCGAGCACACAACCACATGGGGAGAGGCCTGGGGAACATGGCGACACAAGAGCGAGGCAAGTGGCAGGAGAAAGAAGAGGTAGCCTACGGCAGAGGGTGTCTCTCTTACTGACGGTGACCAAGGGCCTAGTCTAGCTTCTGCCCATGCAGAGTTTCTGGTCATGAGTAAGAGGCTTGGCTGACTTTACCTCAATTAGGATTCCCAGAGCAACATCGACTATCTCGGCCTCATTCATGCAGTACACAGTCCTCGTCGCAGGGAGTCTGAAAAAAGAAACGCAAGGCACAGATGACACAGACTCTCAGGTCTCACAAGGACAAAGAAAACAGGAGGAAGAGGGCCTCTTCCCGCCAACTTCCCACCACGCAGGAGGCACCAGCACCTCTGAGCCGAGGAGCTTTCTCCGACACGGACACAATTTCCTTAGCCTTGCAGACCAGTGACTGGCACAGGGCTTCATGGAGGCAACACCGGGGTGCCTCCCACCCTCCACCAACTGCCCTACAAGGATGTGGAAGTAGGGAAGTGCTGCCACCTCTGAAACACACACGTGGATGCAAGAAGAAGGAGACCTCAGGCCGAGGCTGCACTGAGAGGAACCTGAAAGCAGGACCAGACTTAGGGAAAGGCGGCAGCAGTCACATGGGAAGGCTGTCGGTCAGGAAACCTTAGAGGAGGAGGAGCCAGAGGAGGAGGAGCCAGAGAGGGGAACACTGAGTGCTGGGGCCCCGCCCACTTGATGCTGCAGCCTGGAGACTCACCCCACCCCACGCAATTACCGTCATTCAACTCACTCCTCAGCTCCTGACCGCTTGCTGGCCCCGCAGCTGCTGCTCATCTGTCCATCCCTAAAGGGCTGTCCACAGGAGGAGCAGGCACCACTCAGAACAGACCCTACCACTGATCTTGCCCATCTGATGTTACCATGTTTGTTGTAAAGGAAGAGACTGGCATTTTGGACAACTGGCATCAGAGATTGGCTGACATGGAAAACCCACTCTGTGTGTGCTGACAGCAGAGCACTCACCAGTGCAGAGGCAGAAGCGGGTGCCTGTCCTCGAGGTTTAACCTGTTTTGCCTCCTGCCCACAGCCCCTCCACCTCCTAAAAGCTCAAGAGATGATCAGACTGAAACACCCACCCATCTTGCTGTTCTGCCTACGCTGGAAGACCTGGCCCAGGTCGTGGAGGTCCCTGCTCCACTCGCCAGATTCGCAGGAGTCATCTGACCAGGGTTGTCGCACCTTGCTGTTGCCACCGGCACTGCTGCCATTCTCATCCTCTTGGGGGCCTTCGCTGGTGCCACATTCTTGGTAGCCACCTGGGCTGTCAGCCATGAGGGAAGGACCCTCTTTTTAGTCTCGGATTGTAAGGTTTCCATCTCTGTACCTTCTCACAAAGAAAAGTCAGGGCCAAAGTTTAATGACCTGCTTTTTAATTCAGGAAGGTAAATCCCGTTCTCTCGTCACACCCGGAATTACAGGTCCATTTGTCCTCAGTGGGAGCTGATCTTTGATTCCTACAAAGAACAATAAAGTTCAGTGAATTCCAATACCTCCAGTCATCAAGCAGTTACCGGTCGGTGCAGGGCAGGCCAGAGGTGACCAAAAGGTGAGCAGGGCCCAGGAGACTCAGACGGCCATTCACAGACATCAGGCAGATGTGATTGTGGGCATGAGAGCGGCTCAGGAGAGAGCCTTCTGACCTCCACAAAGCTGGTGTCCCCCACAGGCAGCCAGAGCCAACCAGAGCTACCTCCTGCAGCCTCTGTGCTGACTGACTCAGCACAGGAGGAAAGGAAGAGGCGGAGGCCCCCAATGTTCCTCCTCATTACCACCCCAAATGCCAGTCCTCGGAGTGCCCAGCCCATCCAATCCCTAAAATACCTCTTAATGGCCTCTCCCTCACCTGGTCAACTCGATTTCTCTACTCTTCTGTGGTGGCTCAGTCACATGAAACTGAGGGCATTTTATTTCACAATAAAGTCTCATTAGCCAACACCCCGCCCTTAAGCTAAAGATATTTCTGATTGGTCAAACTTGAACCAGCAATAGGGGCCAGGAAGCATAACTGTGCCAGTCTGTAGACTCTGAAGCCCACGCCAGACTCTGATCTAGTTTGGCCTCTCTTCTTCCTATCCCAATTGTTCTGCCTCCACTCTGCAGTCCTGGAGCTCAGTCCTCACCCAGAGAGATGGAGTTGTGACTCAGAGGGCCTAGGTCTCTACCTTCCACTTAGGAATCAAACCACAAGCTCCTGAAGCAGAGGTATGCTCAGAAAAAAGTAGTCAGCGTTAGTCCTCTCTGAATCACAATTTGATAATGTATTGCTCATTCAGATGGCTGTTTACAACTTAAGAAAAAATATTAGCAGGCCCTCCTCCTAACCTGTATGGCCACGGGGCACACCTTTGCCAATGCCCCCTCATTTCTGTCAAAACTCATTGATACTAGTGACTCCTACTCCCTAAGGCGCCTCGCAAGTGCACTGCTGCAGTCTATGTGGACAAATTTAGTTCACCCTGGGGTGCATATTAAGTACATTTCGCAAACGAGGAACTGAGACTGAGTTAACTTGCAGAAGATCACAGAAAAGTTTGAAATCAGCTGGTTGGATTCGCAGCCAGGTCCTGCAGACTCCAGACCCCGCGCCTCCCCGCCCTGCTTCTGGGCCCCAAGGGCAGGACGCAGCACCTTCCAGAAGCCGGGTCTCCGAGGCACCGCGCTAGCGGACAGACCTCAGTCCCATGCCAGCCGCTCCCTGCCTAAGCGGAACGGGGCCCCCGCGGGAACGCGATGTGCTGCCAGTTCACAGCCCGCCCTAGCTCTGGGGGCCAGTACCCGCCGCTAGACCTGTGGGAGGCCCAGAGGGCCGGTGACTGCGGAGGAGAAGGCGCAGGCGAAGCACCGCAGGGGCCTCGCTGACCCTGCCGCACGCGGGTCCGGGCTGCACCGGCTCCTTCCGATCCGAGCGACAGCGCGCTCCTCCCGCCGGCTACTGGCTTCCCTGCTCTCAGGTTCCCTCTCTCCACTTCTTGTGCCCCTTCTTAGCTTCCAGAGCGGAGCCAGGAGGCAAATTCCGAGCAGTTGTGGGACCCGCGCCCCACCCAGAACTTAAATCCCCACCTTCTTGCCTGGCACCGGAACTCCCCTGGCCTCCTCTGGCCGCCTGCCTTGGCCCTGCGCGCTCCCGCCTCGTACACTTCCGGTCCTGGCGCGGCTCCCGGCCCCCTCGGAGTCCTAGCACCCGAGACACTTCCGGCTCTGGGCAGCTGGCTCACTGGGAGGTCCGCGGGCGCCCCCTTCTGGCCGTGCCTGCGCCCCTTGCTGGCACACGGTTTCCTGCGCACTGCAAACGCGAGGCAGGGCAGCAGGCCTGAGGAAAGTGAAAGTGTCCATTCCTGGCCCCTGAAGTTAGCGGAAGGGAATGGGAGTGTTTTGGAAAGGCCTCCCGGGAATTCCCTCGGAAACCAGGTAGAGGATCCCTGCTGGGCCAGGCAGCCCTCGGGGAGCGCTGGAGGAGGATGGGAGCCCGGCCTCCATTTGTTATCCTAATGAAGTGGAAAATTAAGAAGATAATAGAATAATAGCATAAGTGTAGCAGGACAAGCCGCAGACAAAACTCCTCAGACACTGAGTTAAAGAAGGAAGGGGTTTATTCAGCCAGGGCCATCAGTAAGACTCCTGTGTCAAGAACTGAGCAATTCCTGTCCCTTTTAAGGGCTCACAACTCTAAGGGGGTCTGCGTGAGAGGGTCCTGATCGATTGAGCAAGCAAGGGGTACGTGACTAGGGGCAGAATGCAGGGGTAATGAAATCGGAACAAAACAGGATAGGGATTTTCACATTGCATTGCTATACAATGTCTGTAATCTATAGATAACATAACCGATGAGGTCAGGGGTCGATCTTTAACCACTAGGCCCTGGGTGTGGCGCCAGGCTGTCTGCTTGTGGATTTCATTTCTGCCTTTTAGTTTTTACTTTTTCTTTCTCTGGAGGCAGAAATTGGGCATAAGACAATATGGGGGGGTGGTCTCCTCCCTTATAAGTACTAATAGTAAAATTATAGTAAGAGAAATAAAAGCTCATAGAATGAATTGCTGTATTAACCAAAGCTGAAAAGAATTTCAGCCCTCTCGAAGTTAAAGGAGGATATTAACTGCCAGTCCCAAGAAACATTAACTGTATCTGCCCTTCAAATATTTTGTGGGCTCTGTTAAGTTTGTGTTTTCTTTCTTCCCTGCACAGCTACAAGGTCTCACAGTGTGTCCGGAATTGACTGACTTCAAGAATGAAGCCACAGACCTGGTTGTGAGTGTAAGAACTTTTACAGTGCTTAAAAGATGGTGAGTCCAGAGTTTGTTCCTTCTGACGTTCGGATATGTTCAGAGTTTCTTCCTTCCGGTGGGTTCGTGGTCTCACTGGTTTCAGGAGTAACCTGAAACCACCTCCGCAGTGAGTGTTACAGCTCATGAAGGCAGCTTGGACCCAAACAGTGAGCACCAGCAGGATTTATTGTAAAGAGTGAAGAAACAAAGCTCCACAGGGTGGAACGTGACCGGAGCTGGTCGCCACTGCGGGCTGGGGCAGTCTGCTTTTATTCTGTTATCTGACCCTACCCACATCCTGCTGATTGGTCCGTTTTACAGAGCACGTTACAGAGAGCTGGTTGGTCCATTTTACAGAGAGCTGATTGGTCCATTTTGACAGAGTGCAGATTGGTGCATTTACAGTCCCTGAGCTAGACACCAAGTGCTAATTGGTACCTTTACAATCCTTTAGCTAAACACAGAGTGCTAGACAGAAAAGTTCTCTAAGTCCCCACTAGATTAGCTAGATACAGGGTACTCATTGGTGTATTTACAAACCTTGAGCCAGACACAGAGTGCTGATTGGTGTATTTACAATCCCTTAGCTAGACATAAAGGTTCTCCAAGTCCCCACTAGACCCAGGAGGAGCCCCGCTGGCTTCACCTAGTGGATCCCTCACCAGGGCTGCAGGCAGAGCTGCCCGCCAGTCCTGCACTGCGCGCCTGCATTCCTCCACACTTGGGCGGTCTATGGAACTGGGCGCCGTGGAACAGGGGGCGGTGCCCATCGGGGAGGCTCCGGCCACGCTGGCGGCCACCACGGTGGAGGGGGGGTTGGGCATGGCAGGCTGCAGGTCCCTAGCCCTGCCCCACAGGGAGGCTGCTGAAGCCCGGCGAGAATTTGAGCGTGGTGTGGGCGGGCCAGCAGTGCTGGGGAACCTGGCACACCCTCAGCAGCTGCTGGCCCAGCTGCTAAGCCCCTCACTGCCCATGGGTGGCAGTGCCAGCCGGCCCCTCCGAGTGCTGGACCCTCCGAGCCCAAGCCCGCCTGGAACTTACGCTGTTCCATAAGCATCGCGTACAGCCCGTTTCCACCCGCGCCTCTCCCTCCACACCTCCCCTCAAGCAGAGGGAGCCAGCTTCAGCCTGGGCCAACCCAGAGAGGGGCTCCCACAGTGCCGTAGCAAGCTGAAGGGCTCCTCAAGCACCGCCAGAGTGGACGCCGAGGCCAAGGAGGCGCCAAGAGCCAGGGCTGCTAGCACATTGTCACCTCTCAACAAGACAGATAAGAGTAAGTTGCAAACCAAGTTTTCCCAGAGATGTAAGATATGTTGCAAAAGTATCACAAGATAATTAATGGCCTTTGTTCTCACTTCTGTAAGCCTGCTTCCTGCTTCACGTAATTCCTGCCTCAAAATGCTTAAAAGGCATTTGTTTTCTCTGTTCTATGCTCAGACTTTCTGGATGCAATTCCACTGAGCTGGTGTACACCTAAAAATAAAAACTTTACTGCATCCCATTCTTTGGTTTGTCCTGTCCCTTCATTTCTGCAACATTTCTGGTGCCGAAATCTGGGACTGGAGAGGGCAGATTTCTGTCTCTTTTGCCTGTGGGACTGAGGCTCTGAGGCAGGGGAGACCTGGGACCCCTGGCGCCAACTTTCGGCCTGGAAGGGGATCTGCCCTCCCCGGCCCCAGTGCCCTTCCCGACAGCGCAACAGAACCAGTAAAAATGGACTGCTGGACAGTGACAGGAGCAGCCATCTGAACCATAGTAAGGTTTGGGCCCTAAGGCAGGACCTATCCCATAAGGACGGAAGGGGAGCCTGATCACCTTCCAGGGGGTGAGAACTAAAACTAGTGCGACCCAGAGGGGCTGGAGACAATGGGAGAGATCCATTCATTCGGATGAAACTCACACCCTAACTGATGCAGGATGTGAGAGAGGCTCGCAGATTGGTCAGGAAAGGGAACCAAAGTGGCAAGAGGTGCTCGCTGCTTTAACTAAAGGATAGCAACTGGGAATGGGGGAGGTGAAAGGAAACTGAACATGGCAAGAGGGGCTTCGCAACTTTAACTAAAGGTCAGCAACTGGGAACGGGGGAGGTGCATGAAATTGTGTGAAAGAGACAGTCTTGGCAGAGGCCAACGCGGGGCGTGATGTGGGGAGACACAGATCTCCTAGCGCAGACTGTGTGTTCCCAGGGTGCGACGAGCCAGACCTAGGACACCGGATCCGGCAAACAGGAGCTGCCCTACAGCTGCAGCAGGCTTGTAGTGGGAATAAGGTACTCTCCTAGCTAAGCAGTGCCCGAACCTCCCCCTCCCATAATAGGACCCAGTCTGGTCAGTCCAGGAATGAAAGTGAGAGTGAAAGCACATCACAAAGGGCAAAATGGGAGGAAAAGCATCAAAGCCTACTCCATTGGATTGTATGTTGGGAAAATTTCAACAAAGGTTTTAATGGAGATTATGGAGTTAAATTAACCCCTCCGAGATTGAGAACTCTCTGTGAAATAGATTGGACTTCTTTTAATGTTGGGTGACCCACCGAAGGGACAATAGACAGATAGATAATTGACTGTGTGTTTAGGATAATAACCGGAGCCAGAGAATAGCCTGGGTACCCGGACCAGTTCCCATACATTGACTCCTGGCTGAGCATCTTTCAAATTCGCCCCAAGTGGCTACAAGCCTATTCTGAGACCCTGGTAGTTTGTGCCAGATCTGAGGCAGTAAAAGAACCTAAAGGGAGGCTGAGGCGGGCGGATCACGAGGTCAGGAGATCGAGACCACGGTGAAACCCCGTCTGTACTAAAAATACAAAAAATTAGCCAGTTACGGTGGCAGGCGCTTGTAGTCCAAGCTACCCGGGAGGCTGAGGCAAGAGAATGGGGTGAACCCGGGAGGCGGAGCTTACAGTGAGCCGAGATCCTGCCACTAGAACCCAAAGGGACAGTGGAAGGAAAGGAAAACACGCAAGGAAAACAGGAAAAATCTGTTCTGCAGGCCCACACAAACGGCCCCTGAGGAATCAAGCTCAGAGGAGAGTGAGCCTCAGGCGTCACCCCACAGGGAAAAGTCAGAGCCCCTACCTATAAAGACTAAAGAAGCACTCCGCCGCACCCGAGCCTTGCAGATGTTTCTCTGGGAGACACAAAGCCAAATTTATCATGATAAACAGAATAATGTACAAGGAGAGCAACGCCTTTTCGTTTACCAGCCTTTCTCCACCACTGACCTCCTAAACTGGAAACAGCTTACACCCTCCTATACCAAGAAGCCCCAGGCTGTCATAGACTTCATGCAGTCAGTCTTTCTGACTCATAACCCTACCTGGCCTGATTTTCAGCAGCTACTTTTAATATTGTTCAATACAGAAGTACGCCAGGAGAATTACTCAGGCAGCCTTACGGTGGTTAGAAAGCAATGCACCTGTTAAGCAGTATGCACAGAAGAGGTTCCCAGAAGCAGATCCAAATTGGGATCCAATCCAGGCAGAAGAATTGCAAAACCTGCAGAGGTATCGGGAAGCACCCCTTAATGGAATGAAGGCTGGAGGGAAAAAGGCAACGCATTTGGGAGCGGTCTCAGAGGTACGCCAAAAGGCTGATGAGAGTCCCAGTGAATTTTACGACTCTGTGAAGCATACCGGCTTTATACACCGTTTGATCCGGAGGCTGTAGGGAATCAATGCATGGTTAATGTGGCATTTGTGGGCCAGGCACAAGGTGACATTAGATGGAAGCTTCAGAAGTTGGAAGGTTTTGAGGCTATGAGTATTACCCAGCTTATTCAAGTAGCTACTAAGGTATTAGTATTAGCCAGAGGAGGAAGCTGAGAAAGAGGCAAAACGCAAAGTCAAGGAAAAG